GCTCTTCCGATCTCCCCAAAACCCCAAAACCCCGAAAATCAAAATATTTTGGGTTGGGGAATTTGAGTATTTTATTAATAGTAATCTGACAAAACACGTACTAGGGTTCGAATTTAAAAGATAAATAAATAGGATAAAGATCTTACATTTATTAGATTAACAATTCAATACATAGAAATATTTTGAAACTAAAGTAAAGAGGAAAGTTAGAAATGTATTCAGCAAGCAACAAAGCATATCTCTCTAAGAGAATAATCGAGCAATACAAGCATGAGAAAGAAAGAAGAGTGAAATCTGAGATAACTTAAAACCAGATGTTTCAAATTGAAGAGTAATAAGACGAGGATGATGACTAAATGAATGAAAAATCATAAGAAATGATTTCATCATCTGTCTAATAAAAACATGTCAAAGAAGAGATAAAGTTTAAGCCTAAGAAATAAGAGCGAGAGGTGAGTAGCCTCCTATCCAATGATTGCTATGAAGTTGAAGAGGAGGAGAAAGTTGAGGAAAAGTCAGAATTCGAAGAGGAAGAGGATAATGAGTCAGCCGAAAGTATGGATTCTGAAGAATTAGGAGATGACATTGATGACTACAAAGCATATGAGTCATATCAAGTTCAAATGCTTTAAAAACAGATTAAAGAGCTTTAAAACTATATTAAAGAGGGATAGAAAAAAGAGAATTATTCGATAGTTGATAAAGCGTAGAACAGCTTCGGAGGTGCGAGCTAAAGTACACTATAGTAAAGAGTAGAACAAGCCAGTTTATTCAGTTCTCAGGAAAATGAATCGGACAGCAACATGACTTTTGGAAAAGCCTAACCATAAATAGATTTTCGAAAACAAATGAAACCCTAACACTAGATGTTTGGCTATTAAGAACCAGAAGAAAGTCAGAAAGAATTCTATAAATATAACCCCAAAACCAAAAATACTGCAGAATTAAAGAAGGTAAAAAGAAGAAAATACAAGCAAGAAGTAGATACTAATGTCTTCCAAATATCTATGGCTTGTCTAAAAGACCAAAGTGAACTTGCAACTGGTGATCCCTGCTTCTGCACTAATTGCGATGCAGTCTTTAATCTCTACAGTAAGATTGAAGAAAGCAAAGCTGAAGAGGAGCAGATCTGGCATTGTGAATTCTGTAATCACTAAAATAAGGTTTAATTTGAACCTGAGGAACTTCCAAAAACTGAATCTGTTCACTACATAATTGAAGCAGCTGAATAGATTATTGATAAGAATAACCCTGTAACTGGTTAAAAAGACATATCAGTTATCTTCTGTATTGATATATCAGGAAGTATGTGTGTATCCTTGCCAGTTGCCGGCCACCATCAAATAAAAGGAGATAGAATGAAGGATATCTCAGCATAACTCATGAAGTTTGGAGACGGTTCAAACCAAAGACTCTAAGGAGATCACAATGTGACTTATGTCTCAAGACTCTAATGTATCAAGTTAGCCATTGAGAAGCAAATAGATGAAATGTAAAGGCTTTATCCTGACAGAAAAATTGGTATAGTAACTTTCAATAGTGAGGTAACAGTTATTGGGGATGGCACCTAGATTCCAATAACGATAGCTGGTGACAAGCTTAACGATTATGATACACTTTTCTAAAGTGGAATTCAATCTCATCAAATTGCACTCAGAAAGCCAATCAAGGAGACCAAAAAGCATTTGAAATAAAAACTTCTAGGTTTAGAGGAAAAAGGTCTTACGGCACTGGGGCCAGCTGTGTTGACTGCCATAGCAATGGCAGGTGAAGGTGCACCTGGTTCATCGGTGATAGTTTGCACTGATGGGCTTTCCAATGTAGGTCTTGGTAATTTAGATGAAATTTTCACTGAAGAGTAGCACCAAGAGATTGATTAAATCTATAATAGAATGGGGGAATATGCCATGTCAAAAGGTGTAACAGTAAGTATTGTCAGCATAGAAGGTGAAGAATGTAACATCGACACCATCTCAAGGCTATCAGATTTTACTGGCGGAGATGTACAGAGAGTTAAACCTTAGGATCTTATCGAGAATATCCAGAACATCCTAAGTTTACCAACTCTAGCTACAAATGTCTAAGTTAAGGTTAAGATTCACAAGGGTCTTCAATATAGAAATGAGGATCCATAAAATCTGAGCGCTGACAAGACTATTCTCTTAAGAGATCTTGGCAATGTCAACGAGGGTACTGAGATTACATTTGAATACAAACTCAAGAATATAAAGAAACTGCTAGAAATGGAGGACATTGACTTGGAAAAACTTAAGCATTTCCCCTTTTAAGCATAGATAGCCTACACATCCTTAGACGGTGCAAGATGCATCTTAGTAATTACAAATCAAGTTGAGACATCAAACGATAGAAATGAATTGATGTAGCAGGCCAACTTTGATATTTTGGGAGTAAATGCTATTTAATAAACTGCTAAGTTTGCCAGAGGTGGTGATTTTGTAAAGGCTCAAGTAAATGCTAAAGCATGGAGTAGACACTTGGAAAGAGACTCAAATGATGAAGAGCAAAATGAGTGCCTCATGAACTTCAGAGGAAACGTCAATAGCATATATAACGCTATTGCTGCTGAAAGAAGTAATGGTTCAAACAGCAATATGATGATGGGCTCATCTTCATAAAGCAAGCAATATGTATATACTAGCGATAGCAACAGTAATATTCGTTAAAGAGGAGCAACTAGATTCAATGATAATTTGAGTCATTAAGTATTTGCTGCAAAATAGATGACTGTCAAGAAAATACAGAAAAAAAATACTTGAGGATATATAAATCTAAAAATAAATAGCCAGCAATATGTTTACTATTTATTTTAACTTAAATTTATAAAATCATCTTAACATAATCTTCAACTTAAACTTTGGGGTTTTGGGGTTTTGGGGTTTTGGGGTTTTGGGG